ATACGTCTCCTCTTTTTTTTCCCCAATTGATCTTCCCCCAGCCTCCCCAACCCCCTGGCTGAATTGTTATTTTACAACTGCAGCTAGACTCAAGGTTATAGAAGAGGAAATCATTATATCACTGCACCTCTGTGGTTCAAAACTTAGATGGTAGTTCAGTGCCTTCAATGAGATAAATTCAACAGTCACTGTGTACAGAAATCTCATGTGCTAGATGAATTGAAGAGTGCTCATTTTAAACTCAAAGCGCAGAGATAGCATTTGTAAAGTGATGGTGCTCTTCACATGTATAACATGGGCCTTATAAAAACATCAAATGCTTACAGCATCCTCAAATGAAAGCAAATTCCTGCTTCTATCTTACCAGCTTTCTGTCCTTGATCAAAAATTACCTTCACTGCCCATCATTTTGTTAGTGGTTAAAACTTACCATTTAAATTGTAAGCTGCAAATCTAAAGGAAACTGCACGTGTGATCTTTGTCACCTCATTTTCATGAATGGAAAAGAATATTCTGACACAAAAATTACATACTTAATTCTAGCTCACCTTCTCTGCTGACCTCCATCCTACACTGCCTTGGGTTTATTTCCTCATCCATCAGTGGGTCAAAGTAATTTCTGCTGTATTCATTTCCTGTGGAAAGTACATGAAGTAAGGGTCAGTGATTATTAGAAGCACATGAAGCAAAATGTTAATTTTGAAATCGACACCAGCACAGGAGGGCCATTTTAGCTACTTTATAAGCTTACTTTTTCTACAAGACTTCGAGGCCTCCCTTTTTCATAATTATTATCTTGCAAAAGGTCATAAAAGGTAATTAAAGAAACAAGTTCAAGCTATCTTTCTGTCTCTAAAAAATTAATGAGAAAATTATCAAATGTAAACTTTAGAATAATAAAAAATTCAAGCAAATTATTTTTAGAATATACTCAAGAAATAGACATTGTTGGATTAGAATTGTTTTGAGTTAACTGATTATTTACTCATCTGTATATATTCACTAAGTATATCATGTTTTAGTGTCCTAAAATAGTGTAGTCAACTTAGTAGTGACTTAATTATGAGAAACTGTAGAAAAATGTCTATGTTGATCATTAAGGAGAGAGAGAGAGAGAGAGAGAGAGAGAGGAAAAGAGAAATAGGGAGGAAGGAAGAAAAGAAAGTCTAAGAGGCCTAATTATAGCTCTTTTTGTTATGTCAATTTAAGTAACATGAAGGAAAGGTACAAATGATTTAGTCTGAATTTATACCTTCCCTTCATGTTACTTAAATTGACATAACAAATATTTAATACACATCAACAATTTCAACAACACAAACCAAAAATTCTCACTTTACATTTCCTACTTACTTTTGCTCTAATCTAGATAAACAAACTATAGCATCAAATATGACTTTGTAATAGAGAAAAGGGTCTGATATCAATTTTCCAAATCTAGTTTTATACTTCATGCACACTGAGATGTATATGTCTGTTACCAGTAATTTACATTCAGTAAGACGTAATCTCTTCTGATGATAATTCAAGTAGCCTCAAACACTAAGTAATAAATCAATATAGACTGAAAACAATAATTTTTAAAGTATTTGCTCACAGGAAAGGGTCCATGTATACCAGGTGTACTGTGATAGTCCATTGTATATTTGTTTTAGTGTCAAAAATAATCCAAACAGCAGCTCTTTCTCTAAGACTAAATGGGATTTTGATATAACCTAGGTTTAATTTATATTTCTGATCTGGGCTGGCACATTTTTGCTGTCAGTCTCTGTTCTATCAATGTAGTAAGTACAAGAACTGAAAATCTGCTTTTCCTTGAGGTCTCAATAAAGAAAAAAATAAATGAGTTTCATTTTTGTTACTTTATCTGTCAACAACTACTAGGCCAGTATGAATCTTGGCAGGATGTAATCAAAGTCTTATGTACTGCAAAAACCGCCATTCTACCTCACTCACTGTAATTGTTGGTTTTCTCCCTCTACCACAAAGCATGCAATACTCTAAGTACAGTTGTCCATATGCTGGAAAAATAATTCACCTAGATTAAAACAAAAATATTGGTGTATTCCTTATTATATTACCGTAGCAGCTTCAGTCAGCTATTGGTACCCAGATCCTGGAGACACCCCCAATCCAATACAAAATTCAAGCTACTTGTCTATACAAATAATACCCTCAAAAAAGCCTCATAAGCATAAACAACAGTATGGTGATTACCAGAGGGAAAAGGGATGGGGGAGGCAGAAAGGGTAAAGAGGATAAATGGTAATGGAAGAAGACTTGACTTGGAATGGTGAACACACAATACAATATACTGATGATGTATTATAGAATTGTATACCTGAAACATATATAATTTTATCAATCAATGTCACCCCTATAAATTCAATTAAAAAGTAAAAGAAAAAAAAAGACCTTGGAGAGTGAAACAAAGTCATTTTTTACCAAAAGTCTGGGGAAGTTTCTTTGGTTTCTCAAATCATTTTCATCCTTGTTGTCAGTTCAGAAATTGGGGCCTTGCCTAGCTTTGCAAGGAGACCCGCACACTGGGAACCTTCCAGACTGTTAAGTCTCCCCTCAGGGCGCCAAGCTTCTGCACACAAGTGGGAGCTGGGGCCCTCAAATGTCTATGTATGGTTTTGAAATCTATGCAAATCGTTCCTTCCACAATGAATGTGGGTTGAGGCACACATGTCAGTTATAAATGCCACTCCTAGAGTGATTTATTCTGTACTTCCCATTCTGGAATAGGGCATATAGCACTTTACAAGTAAAGAATCATGAGAGAGCTTGAGCAAAGAGGCAATTCTTGACACACTCAATACTGATTCTCTTGAAACATCCCCAAATTCTATATTATATTATATGTTTATTTTTTTTACATTTTATATGTATTTTATACTGTCTTACATTATGTTATGTATTGTTTTACATGCATAGCATTATACTTGCATATTGTCTGTCTCTCCACTAAAATGAGGGCAATAACAGTATATCTTTATTTACTACAGCCCCTCAGTGCAGAGAACCATACCTGGCACACAGGGGCACTCACAATATCATCTGAATTCATTTTTAAATAAAACTTTCTTGAAAACCTATTGTAATACCCAAATCTTTTCACCTCCCAGATGTTCTTTCTTGATTAAAATGAGCAACAAGTTATCACCCTTTACTCCTGTTTTTTCTTTCTTTTCCCGTCTATCTTTATCAGGGAGACCCCCTTCCCTTCCCTTTATTGTTGAGGGTTTTCTAAGCACCAAACACTATGTCTGGATTTTAAAAACAAACGTGACGCCATGGTCCCTGTCTTTAGAGCACAGCCCACTGAGAGAACAAGGAACCTAAACACATAGTCTGACAAGATTCAATGCCACGGTTAAGGGATGGACTTTGTTTGAACACATGGCAGGAGCATCAAACTTGTACTGGGGAAAGAATTTTTTTTTCCCTTGGGGAAAGGAATTTTTAACAGAAGTAGCATGAGCAAATAAGAAAAGACATCAAGACATAAAGACAGGAGAAGCATGTTTTCTTAGTAAATGTTCCTCAATTTTTCTAAGCCTCCTAAAGTTACAAAATAGCAAAGAATTGAAATGCAAACTTCTTCACTTGTCCCAGAATGTAGTTTAACTAATATTTTTGCTCAAATTATTTTTAAGTTTCTGTACAGTATCACTTTATGGTGATATGATGTATCATAGCCATTCATTCATTCATTCATCTAATAATTTTTGAGTGCTTATCCTATATAATAAAAAGCTACTATGCAAATTGACCAAATGGCAGAACAACCGGTCACTATGACATACACTGACCACCAGGGGGCAGATGCTCATCACAGGAGCTGACCCCTGGTGGTCAGTGCAATCCCACGGCGGGAGCGCCACTCTGCCAGAAGCCGGTCTCACGGCTGGTGAGTGCAGTTGCAGTGGTGGGAGCCTCTCCCACCTCTGCAGCAGCACTAAGGATGCCATTAGCTGGACATCCCCCAAGGGCTCCCGGACTGCAAGAGGGCACAGGCGAGGCTGAGGGAACCCCACCCCCCCAAATGCACAAATTTCATGCACCAGGCCTCTACTTATGTGAATATTTCAGTAAAACAAATCATTCAAAAATCCCTTCCCTCACAGAGCTTATATCCTGTGAATTTAAGAATAAAAGCAACACATGTGCATATTCTATACCTTATTGCATGGTGATAAGTGACATGGGGAAAAGACAGAGCCAGATAAGGTGTTTAGGCACCCCAGAGAGGAGTGGGGATACATCCCTGTGTATACCTTTGTTTCAAAATAGGAACAACACTCAGGATTAAATCACTATGCTCTCAAGACTATTGAAACAATGAAGCAATAACATATAATTATTATAAATACATAATATAAGAAATAAATTTAATAAGTGAGTTATAATTTATTATTTATAACTTATTACTACTTTGTCAATTGCTTGCTATAACATAAATCCCCTTATAAATTAAACAATAAAATGATTCTCTTTTCTATTGGTGTATCTTGTCTTAAGAAGTCAATAATCTAAACACAGTAGGCAGAGTTTAAGATGGTAAAGCACAAGAAACCTATTACAAATTTGGAAACAACAAACTTCATCTCAATCCTAGCTCCTCTGCTTATGTTTCATAGGATAGCATCAGGATTTAAGGAAGTGAGATGATTTTAGGATAGTGTGGATATTACCAGAGCTAGGTTGCTAAGAGAATAAATTTCAAAAATGTCCTTATTATTCAGAATATGCTTTTGGATATGTCTAAAATCATCTCGCAGGAAAATTAACAGATCCACTGGGAAATTCAAAGTAGGGCATTTAGCAATATTCATACAAAAGGTTTTAATATAGCTGACATTTTACTGTTTGTCACATTTAGGTAAATAATCTGATAATTGCATATGTATATATTGAAGTATGGTTCCACATTGAAACAGTTGGATGTGATACATAAGCTAACAAATCAGTAAACTGGTCTTGTCAATACTCTCAGCACTCTATTTTTGCTTCCAACTTCATAGCATTCACTGTTCAGTGTTTAGAAGCAACACCAGTTCGTGCATTTCATGTGCTATTTTTTACTGAATCGGGAGAGGAAAACACAAGCACTTGCCTCTGCCTTCCACACATATCAGGTTTTCCCAGCATTTAACTAGAACAGCTCAGAACGTAATCAGGGCTTTTACTTAAATTACATCGTACATGAACTTTGGTCAGGAAATCCTCCAGTGTGCACCCATGCAGTTCCTAGGGGGCCATAAGAGTGAGAATGAAATTGCTCACCAGAGAAAGGTTAGTGTGAATCATAGAAGTGTCTTGACTCAACGAAGCAATCACCTCCTTTCGAGTCAGCTACATTAGCTCCAGAGAAAGAAAGTCTGAATCCATCTATCTGTTATTTGGAGGTTTGTATTGTCTCCTTGCTTGTCCTTTTCCTGTGAATCCACCTGCTTCAGCTCGGCTTTTTATCACCAATCATATTTTCTAATAGGTGCTAAAAGTGAAATAAATACAAGACTTACATGTAAACTAAATAACTAACTAAACAATTTATGATTACAGCCATGCACCGTAAGTTTACAAGCTAGAATATTTTGCTGTCTTTAAAAGCATTAAGCCTGGGTAA